TACTGGCAACATGCCTATCTTATAAACAAAAAGTCTAATCACCTTAATATCTAAGAAATTCTTAGAGTTAAATAACATTAACAACTGGAAACCAATCTCTCTAGTAAACAGCAATGCCAAAATTTTTATGAAGATTTTGGCTAATAGGCTTAATGAAATATGTAAAGACCTGGTTTCAGACCATCAATATGGCTTTATTAAAAGTAGAGCCATAACAGATACAGCACTAGATATTCTAACAGTTATGAGAAATCAGCAGGACAATACTAAGCAAAACTGGCTGCTTCTAATAAACTAACAAAAAGCATTCTATCATGTCAACTATAACTATTTCTCAAAGTATTAAAGAAAATGAACTTTAACTTCAAATTCATAAAGCTAATCAAAACCCTATTTACTAACCAAGAAGCACACATCACAGTTGCAGGCAAGATTTCTGCACCTTTCAGAGTTAAAAAAAGAATGCGACAAGATGACCCTCTCTCACCTCTTTTATACATTTTGGCCTTTGATCCACTGTTACAGAAACTGAACAGAGAACTTATAGGAATCCAATTAGGAGATGCAGACTTTAAAGCTTCAGCTTATGCAGATAACCTCATACTAGGAATTGGTTCTAAAACAGATTGGGACACTATCAAAAGAAACTTCACTTTATATGAAAGAGTCTCAAATGTGAAAATTAACTAGAACAAATCTAAACTAATTCTGCTTACAAATGCAGCTTGAAGTCTTGAATTAGTAGGCAAAAAAAATCTTAAAATAATATCAAAACATGAAGCTATTACCATTCTAGGCTATGAAGTCTATCCAAATAGTCTTCCAAAAAAGAACTTTTGGTCATCTACAATTAACAAACTCAAAAGCTCTTTTGAAAAGCTGGCAAACAGGAATCTCTTATTTAAAGGCAAAATTCTTTTAGCAAACTCCTTAATTTTGTTTCAAATTTGGTATACAGCATACCTACTCCCTCTAAGCAAAAAGCATACTGCAGAAATTAATGGCATAATATCTCTTTAGATTAAAAACAGATCCAAAATGCTTCCAAGATTCACAGTATTTCAACAAGCATACAATGCTGCAGGATTGCAAGCTCCAGTAATAGAAGAAATGCTCGAAGCATGACTACTCTTTATATGACTAAAGCTACTCTCAAAAAACCATTTTTGGGCCAGACTAGAAAAAAAAAAAATAAGTAACATATTAGAGCTTAAAAGAAACATATTAGTTTATACTGCCTTAAATACTGAAGTGATCAGAACTAAAGCTTGGCCCAAAGAATGGAAACCTTATCTACTTGCTTGAAAAAAAGCTCAGGGCAAAATAAACATTAGTCACAATTAGATTTGGAGCAAAGAAGATCTATGCATAGGAGACTTTAAAGCAAATGAATTCTCAGTTAAGAAAATTTTAAATTTTTGAAAAACTTCATGTCTATCTAACAATACTACCCAGTCTCAAACACTTTTAACAAACAACAATTAGCTTTCTGTTAAACCGATAAATAACAAAAAAATGAATACATTCTAAAGAACATTTCACAAAGCACTACCTTTAGGATATCATCTAAAATATATGAATTCTTCAATCAATGGAAGTTGTCCTTGGTGTCCAGATGAGCAACAAACAATAGATCACTTTGCTATTCATTGTAAGGCTAGCAAAGAGGTCTAGAGAAAAGCATATACCTTTTTACAAACTGGCATACAAGAAACACCTCCTTCTTCAATTGAAGAAATATTCGATACTAGTAACATTAAAGGTCAACACCATCCACAAGCAATTTTTTGGTTGCACATCAATACGATATATGAAATTTGGTGTTATTATATATCAGCAAGATGGGGAAACAATATATATGCATCTACAATAATTTTCTCTATAGTAGCTAAGCATCTAGCTAATGAAATTAGAGTTTTGTTTAAAAATATTAGTAATGTTCCAAAGAAAATTAAGCTCTTTAAATGCTTAAAAAAACTGTAAATACTCTTGTATATTAGCAATAATTAATAATAAAAGATGCTATCTGCATTTTTAAGCAGGTAACTTAAAAAAAAAAAAATAAAAAATAAAGTAGTTATAAACAAAAAAAAAAATAAAAAAGCAACATAATTACTAAACTAAATATAATCCTTTAAATAACACTAATTGAAAAAATTAAAAACTAACTTATCTGTTATTTAACAATATTCAGAACAATATTTATAATAAATTTATCTTTCTTATTACTAAAATGAAACTTTAACAAATTATAAAATAAGAGGTGTGGTATGTATAATTTTTACATTCTTTCTACTGATCTTTTTTTACAAATTTAGAAAAAATACAAAATTGACAACAATGCAAAAAACAATATAGAAAACACACAAAAGTGTTATAAGAAAAAAGAAGCAGAAAGATAAAATACATAAAAATAGTATAAAGGCACAATAACCAAAAAAGAAGTGAAAAGCACTAGAACAGAAATCTTGCAAAAAACAAGAAAATTTTTGAAAATTGAAAAACTTTTCTGGAATCACCATTGACCCTGAAAACAACAAGCAGAAACATGTGACCAAAAGCAGAAGTAAACAAACACAGACTAGAGTTTGGACCTGGATATCTGTTTATCCATTTATTAATATCCTTTTTGTAAAAGTTATATCTGAATAATTACCAGTTTTTAATTTACAGATAATCGAATAAACCCTACAGTTATCCAGATAACCCTTATGAATATCAGATAATCCTAAAAGAATCCAGATAACCAGATAAATTACAGATAAATAAATAGTAATACAGTAAATTTGAAGAAATTATTGATCATTTTAAATCTGGCTTTTATTAGCAATAATAACTCATTTATTAAAGAACAAGGTAAGGCACTAATAGCATGGCTTAACAATTGAGTTCAGGAAATCATAAGAAATCCAGCTAGTTTAGTAGCTTGAATATTTAATAAGGATATAACAAATATGTGAGTTACAGTCATATAAAGTTGTAAAGTAGTTATATATATAACAATATGGCACATTGTAATGCCCATAATTGGGAGTGTAAATGAACATATACAGTTTAACTTTGGGCACTGCTAAAGGATTCAGTTTAATGATAGTTGAAACATTAAGGAAAGTATAATCATTTTATCAGACTATATGTTATTTTTCTAATCTAGTGCTTGGCACAATCAAACAAAAATTTGACAACCAAATACTTTCAATTAAGTCAGACATCAAACAATTACAGATTATTCAATACTACATATATATTTGTATATATGTATATGTATGAAATTGGTTAATTAGCAATTGTTTGATGTCTGACTTAATCACAAGTATTTGACTGTCAAATTTTTGTTTGATAGTGCCGAGCACTATTCTAACCCATTACTCTACACTTTATTCTTCATCTATACATTTTATTAATCAAACAACTCTATGGGCTGCCATCAAGCAGATTGACATTTTAAAAATTAATTTCTTAACTTTCATAATTTATATCTCAATAAATTTTAAGACTATTTTGATGAATTAATATTCAAAAAAAAAAATTTAAATCTTAAGCTTTCTTTTGAATATTAATCTATCAAAGTAACCTCAAAATTCATCAGGATATAAATTATTAAAGTTAAGGGATTAATTTTTTTAAATGTCAGTCTGCTTAACAGCAGCCCATATTTGTATAATTTAAATATTTCTTTTTACTTGATTTAGATGCATTTCATTATTAATCATTGCAATAAATAAAGTACCTACCCTATAATTATAATTCAATTATTATTTATTAGTAAAAATTAGCACAACAACATCTACATGTTACGTATAGTATAATATAACCATTTTATAAATTTACACCAATTTTCAGTGAATTGGCTAGATGGCATATGAAAGTTGGTTACATTAGAGAAAGCAAATTATCTATCATTGATGCACTCAAGAATCTTTAAAAGGAATTAAATGGTATAAAGCTTGATATATAATTAACACACTTAATGTATTTTATATGCAGATAATAAAAGGTTTTATGAATGAATTTTAAGATTTTAGAAAAGCAGGAGATATTTATAAAATTTTTAATGTTTTATAAGATTTACAATTTAATAAGTATGCAGTCTTATATCCCAAATCTAAACTATCCAGTTAATATTTCTAACATGATGGCACCAAAGCTGCATTAGCAACTTTTGGTGCCATACTTCTCTAAAAAATACTTTTTACTATTATAAATTTTTGCATGACATTGCGGTAATTATAGACAAGATCAATATTAATAAGTAATATTTAAATCTGCTAAAGGCAGAGATTTTGCTGAACAGTTCAATGTTTTAATTGCTGCAGACATACATGTCTAATAATAAAAAGACTTTTGATTAGTATGTATAGACTTTTTTTCATAATTGATTTTATTATTGAGATATAAGATTCTTACTTATTTTATTAATTTTTTGTGTTTGGAAACACACCATCAGTAACCTTCCAGTTATTTTTTAGACACACTAGGTGCTTAAAAGTAGTAGGTATAAGTAATGTTCTTTTTCCTATCATCGTATTCTCAGCATCACTAAAAAGTCTTTCACTTGTAGTCGAAGTTGCTGAAATAGCCAAATATTTTCAAGCTAATCTACTTAACACAGGAAACTGTTTTTGATTAGTATGCCACCAGGTTAGTAGACATTGGTCTTATGAAATTTCTTGAGCTCCAAGATAATCTGAGACTTCAAACTGTAGGCATCTATTTTGAAACATTAAAGCTAATAAAGAATTGGATTGGCTTTGCAGATTATTATTTTCTTCTATTCCATATATAACCCATGACTCTTCATATTTGGTTTTAAGCAATTCATGAGGTTTTTTTTTTAGAGATTCTGATATAAAAGAAAGAGGCTTGCACCGAGGATCCAAAAGCATCGCCAACATGGCTTTATCACTAGGCATGTTCCAATAATGGATCATAGCATCATATAACACTTACTTTATTTTTTCTTCAAGATTTGTACAATCTTGTGAATTATTAATCTTAATTCAATGCTGCTTTTCATTTGATGCACAGTCTTTTTGTACTCCATCTTTATCTTTATAAATAACATCGTCTTCAAAAACATCATCAGCAGAATCAAAATCCATATCTGAAGTTTTACTAAATGAAAGAAGTTCTTGCTCAATTATGGCAATTGCACTATACATAAAACTGATCATGGCATATTTGCTGCCTCCCAATAATTCAGTCACTTCAGCAAAAGGCCTTAACACTTCAGTTAATAATGATATAGCATTTCATTCATCACTTATTAGATTAATTTTTTCTAGACAAACACCATCTTTCCGAGTTTGTAAATCACTGTCTAGTGTTAAATTAGCTATCATCATACTTATTATACCCTGAATTTGTAAAAGTCATTTCTAGGTGAGAAATAATAAGTTCCATTTCATGGGAATGTCTACAATAATTTGTAACTGATGATTGTTATTTTTTAGGTTCTAAATTTATAAATAAATTTTTATACATTATGTGTTAATTAAAATATTTATTATTGACATTCTAGAGTTCATGTACAAATTTCATAATCCATTAGAATTTTTGATATTAAATACTACTAATTTATTTCAAATTCATATTTAATTATTTCATATAATTATATATATATTAAATACCACAAATTATTTAAATTAATAATAAAAAAAATGCATTGATGGTTCATTATTATAACATTATCAACATTAAAATATTATAGTTCTACCTTTATCCTAACTTAGATTTCTCCCTAATCTAATAAAATTCTAAATTCTGCACTTACTATATTTTCAAATCAATGTAGATTTTTTTGAATATTAATTAATCTTTCAGTTTGTTTGGGTGTAATAAAAAAGAACATGAGCCTTTTGGCACATGCTATGAGAGTTTTAGCATCCAGTAATCCCTTTTCGATAGCACATTGCAAAGTATGGGCTATGCATAGAATCTGAACAATATTTGGCATGCATTTCGTAGCTTTAACTATATTACTACCATTGTCTGTCATGATAGTAAAAACCTTATCAGTTTCCAATCATCAATTATAAAATTTAACACTTCTGTGATTGCTTCGCCAGTGTGCAGGTAAAATAAATATTTGAGTATAAAAACAATTTTGTTTAATTAAAAATCATTGTCAATAAATGTACAGGTAACTCCAAAGTACCCCATACGATTCTGTCCTGTCTACAGATCACAAGTCAAAGAGCAGGTTATAAAATTATTACTAAGCATTTCTTTAAGATGCTTCTTAGAACTTAAGAAAGCATCTGTAAGTAATTTTCGGCAGTGCCTTTTACTAGGTAGCTAATAATTAGAGTCAAATTCTGCTAAGAATTCAACAAAACTAGCACCTTCTCATATATTAATAGGCAATTGATCCTTAACCAGCATACTAATAAACTTTTGATCTCTTTTTGCCTTTCACTTAGGATCATTTGCAGCTATTCTTTGAAACACTTCATCAATGTTTTTTTGTTTAGATTGCTGTTGTTGAAGTTTGTAAGATTTCATGCCTTAATACCAAGTGACTAATAAAATTACCTGTTGAAGTATCTGTTGATCCCATTAAATGCCCACACAGTTGAAGCCCATTGATTTCATTAATTTTGAACAAACATCTTACAATCTGTTTATACAGTTGTACAGGTTTATATAATTTATAGTAACTCTATATCTAACTTTTTCCAGGTACCTTATCAATAGGTACAAGTTGAAGATCCTTAAGGTTGGGTTTAGGAGGTTGTTTCATGCTAGAACTACCTTCAGGTATACTGATATTTACATCATTACTATCATGTTCATTAATTACATGTTCATTATCATCATTAATTACATGTTCATTATTGTGTTCATTGGTTATATAATTATTATCATGCTTATTAGTATTGTCATTACTTAATGTCTTTGATAATGAAGTTGTACTAACTATGCTTTCATTGGAAGTTTTTTTTTTTTTTTGCTGTAGTTTTAGATAAGTGTTGCATTTTCTTGATTGTCTTGTAAAGAAATCATTGCTATCAAAATTTTCTTTGAATCCAGGCTCAGTATTGCTTAAACAAATAGAGCTAGATGTGTTCTCTTGTTCCATACAGTCCATGTTATACGTACAATTCTTGTGTAAAATAGAGTAATTCTTTTCTTGTAGATTATCATGAAGCTGATGCATATTTGTACATGATTAAAAGTCACAAGATATCATGAATGTATGTAAACTCTAGCAACAAAGCTTTTAAAATTAAAAGTAAATGATTTTTCTAAATAATAATTATCTCCCCACTTTCCTACTCTTTCCAAACCAAGTTAAGAGAAAAATATTTAAATTTAGAACAGAGATCCTATTTATATAAAATTATAGTTTAATAGACTATTAATTAAATATCATTATAAGGGGTGTGGCGACCTAGTGAAGTGGTCAGGTTGTCAACCCCCCAAGTGGTAGGTTGGGTGTTCAAATCCCATCG